ATAGTTAAAATATTGTAAAGAGCATCCAAAAGGCCATAGTTTCAATGGTTTGAACTAGCAAAATGAAGATGCTACAGGTATTCAGAGTTTGAAAACGCTTTAACCAGTAACACCTAATATGAATCGTACCCACCAAGCGGAATCAAAAGTCAGAGGGGCGGAGGTTCGAAGATATATTTGATAGGTTATCAATAAATCGTGGATCAACTGATCTAATCTGGCTAGTGATTTCAGGAGAAGTTGAGCATGGCGTTCCCGCTCATGATCTGGTGCGGATGCATGACCGAGCGCCCTCAGCTAGGTGAGTCTGTAGAACTGTGGTCTACTATGATATTAGTGCTGCTCTAATAATGGACGTAATCCTAAAATTATAGACTTGTCATGATATAACTGCCTAATCTACAAGATCTTACGTAGAAGTTACATCGTCTACACCAACTCATTGCATCATAACAATTACCAATACATGATGGAGAACAAGCTTATACTAGAGATATAACAATATATTAAATATGGTTAAAAGATATAAGATAACAGGGACCACGCTCCAGTTTAGTCATATGCTGATTGTCGTTAAAGCTTACGTACCGCCAACCGTCGTATATTTTTACTGATATTATTCGCGTCAGAAAATAAGGGGACAAAATAAACTAAACACAACAATGGATTTTGAGTTCGTACATTACACCCACTCATTGATCCGGACAGATAGTCCGAGAAACGAAGTGAAGGAAGCGAAACGAAACGAAATGACGCGCAGTGGAGGAGATGAGTGAGCCAGATCGTTTTGATCAAGCGTGACTAAATATTTATGTTGGTACAAAATAAATTACAGACACGAAATGAATAGGGTAGTCGTTTGACGCACATACGATCACATAAAAAACAATCGGATTAATAAGTGGACAAGTGATAAGGTAAAAATTTGGCTTCGGAAGAATGAATAAGTTGGTCTGTACAAAAGCTAAAATAACCTTTGTGGGATTGACATAGTACCAGCTACTTCGAGACTTCCTGACCAGCTGGTCTAAAACATTTTTGATGCCCTTCAACGCTGTTTAGCGTGTCTACATGCACATTGGGGATACGAAGGCAGATAAGTACAGTATTGGGTAAGAGTCGTTGCCCGCAGTCCTGCCCGACAATAATCTAGAGGTAACAGTGAGCCAAAGCCCTAAGACTACTGCCCACTGCCGTGAAGTTTTAGCCAGGGGTTTCGGAGCCCTACGAGCCCTAAGACTAACATCAACCAGATTGCTTACTGGTACGCTCATCACAGCATGCATAACCCCAGTGAAATCCCAACTTAAAAACTGCGTTTAGTTTATAAGCCCCTGTTTTAAAGGTGACTCAGTTATCTTGAGAAAACTACAGAGGGAAGATACCCGCGAGACTCTAAAGTTCCAAGGTTTACCATACACTGTGTGGCTTGAGAAGATAGACCTATTAACTCTGTCTTGCCACAGATTAAGAGGTGATCCGATTTCGATGTATAGAATAATACTGGATCAGGACAGACCAGATAAAATAGGCGAATTTAAAAGCCAAGAACGAACAAAATATGGACTGTGTATAGGTTTTTACGCTGAGTCATCAATTCTTAGAGTTTGTTACCCGACGAAATGGTATCCAACCATTCGATTAACTAATTCAAAAAAATACTGGACATCCTCACAAGCTTACTAGAAGACTCACACAATCTGTGGGCCTCCTGTCCTCAGTGCCAAAATCTGAATCTACTATATTTAACCACAAAAGACTTCAAGTGTAGAGATGCCACAAGTATTTGGAGTTTGACAACAATTTAACCAGTAACATCTGTAATTGAATCGTTCCCAACCAGTGAAGTCAAAAGTCATAAGCGAGGAGGTTCGAAGATATATTCGTTAGATTACCAATATATCGAGATGTGACTGATCTAAACTGACAAGCGGTTGCGGGATAAGTTGAGCACGGTGTTTCCACTCGTGATCTGGTGCGGATGCGTGACCAAGCGTCTTCAGCTAGATGAGTCCATTAGAACTAATGCGGTCGGCATCACATGTCGAAGACAAACAGATCTACTATTTATTTACCGCTACATTACTATCAAAATGACTGGGTCTTTTCAAGTTTACCGGTGGACTGTTGATTCAAACAATTTTGTCATGATTAGAATGTGATTTTAGACAGTAGAAAGTCATACGATTATTACATTTCCTTCCATCCTCAACGATTCTAATAGAGGATTATTAAGGCCACATGTGGGTTTCTCATCATTTCTCAGATGAGCTGCTTTATGCCTTCTTGAGTCGAGAGTAACTCTATTGTTGTCTGACCAGCCTTACAATCAATTGGATTCTCCTGAGATGATAACCTATCTATCTGGTTGTAAACTTCTGTGACAGCCTTATTTTATGTACCAGCGAATACTTAGATGAACCGGTGAGGGATGTTCAGAAATTGAATAATAACTTTTTTTCTAATTTAAATGCTGTATTTTGTCTGCTGTCTGGTTCTCTTTTCTGACTTGCATGAAACACATTATTTGGTTTTATACTGCATGATGATAGGTGGGTCAGCATTGTCTGCTTAGGCAATACCAAGTAACACTGGATGATTGAACTTTGGACTTAGATCTAATGAAGGTATTCTATCTAGTAAACTTTCCTTAAAGATGCGTATCATTAGCGAAAAGAAGTGCCTCGGAATATGTCTGTAAACGAAGGTTGTCTTGATAGTTTCAAAAACAAAAGGAACTTATATTGAACTTGGGGTGGCCTTATCAGAAGACTAAGTATTCTTAAATGGAATAATCTGATCAGGCTAAAACTAGCTGATTTTTTAAATGTGAGCCAAACCAGTCGATCGATGATGAGTTTATGTCTGCTGCAGCTTGTCGATAAGATAAACCCGTGTAAGTGGTTCGACAGAGACAAGTTATTGTTAAGTTATAGAGTGAACGGTTTAGTTGGTCACTTTACTAGAATGTTAAGTAATGACTAATGAAGTTTTATCTTCTAAATGCTTCAGAAAAAGGAAGGATGTTTTGATAGATGAAGATAACGAGACAGGAAACAGAAAATATGTGTGACGATGTCACGATTATTCAGGGTTTGATAACGCTTTTATTCGTAACACCTTTATAACCAAATGATCCCAAACTCGGTCAAACCAGAATTCAGGAATTAAGAAGTTTGAAAATAAAATTTAGGAGGTATTCGATATATCGAGAAGTGTTTGACCTAAGCTGGCTAGTTGCTGCCTGCGGTACGTAACACGGTGTATTTCATTGTGGGCTAGTGTGAATGCGTGACCGAGCGTCTTTAGCTAGGGTGTGTCAAGTCAAACTAATGAGGCCAGAATCAACGTCAGATACCTATGGGACTATTTATTTGTAGGATTTATTTACTTCCACATGTGTAATGCGCAACACAAAAGGAAGGGTGACTATTGAGCGCTACATTGGTTATTTGTCTATTTTATAACAAAAACGTTTTGATAATCGTGTAATCCCTCCGAAGGGCAAACATACCAATTTGACTTTGCAAAAATTATCAATCCTTTAGATACATTTATAGTCAGGAAAGAAGAGTTATTGAAAAGTGTTGATTATACGTTTCCGATAAGGACAGTGGATTGTATAGTATTAAAAACCTGAGTGTAAATAATAAATATTGGTCTCATGAAGTTCCCTATAATTCACATGATTGTCAGATACTTGTATCATACAACCTGTCTTTTCTAGAATCATCCTACTCTTTATTGAAAATCTGATCTTATTGTATGAATGACTTCATTAGTTCGACAAATATAATTTCCGTAATTCCTGACAGTATTGTTGGCAAAACTATCAGTCTACAAGTACTTGAATACTAACAACGATCAGTAGCTTGAGGTTGTGGCTAAACTATATGCAAATCTCTGTTTTAATGGATTTAAAAAAACAGACGTGTAATCCCAATGGTATTAGTTTTTTGTACATATCCTTTCTATATATTTGTGCTTGTGTCCGTCTATTTACTACTTATCCTATTTACTATTTTGGCCTAAATAAATTGAGTCACTAATTAACTTACTGACTGATTTCTCTAATCACTCCAAATACGCAAGATTTAACTAAAGGTTAAAATCCATGTTCTACCCATTCAGTTACTGGTAATGGCTTATCTACTGATTAATGGATATGTCATAAAATATCTCCATTTTTTGTATGAGATTACTTGACATCACGTTATCGTATTCCATATAGAATTTTCAGTCTTAGAATAAATGCGAGGTGAACCTCAGTATAAGTTAACGATGAGAATAATCAGATACCGTGATCGGATGGCTACCACAAAATACGATAGATGGAAGATGCAGTTTTCGTTATGAATACCAACACTCGAATATCAGTATATCCAACTGATGAGTCTTAAGCAGAATGAAACGTATCCGAGATTACACTGACAGTCATCATTCAAAATGATTATCCTGAAATAAATTTATGTGTTAAACAAAAAGAATGATGGAAATGACCAGAAAAGAGATCAATCTAAATGATTACATATATCATGTTCGATATTACAATCGATAAAACATTAAATAAGTAATAATCATATACTCAAATAAACGTTTTATTTCACCGTGATAAAATGACAAAAGGTAGATTATAGAAAGAAATGGGAATGACTGTGATATTATGCAAACTATAGATACATAATAAATGTTGAAGAGCTATTTTATTTATGGAATCAAAAATGTCAAAAAGACCATTAGTTAAACTATTCATATTCACTGAATGTTTATAAGAAGAAATGAAGATGAAATGATAGTAACAAAAATTCAAGTTATACACTTTTTTTTACAAACTTTAAATGAATAAATAACAAGTAATATTGTTTTAATAATAAATATATTTTTGTTATATCCTAATGAGTAGAAAAATTGTATTTGTGGTGTTTCGTGACTTAATCTAAGTCACTTCTTCAAAGTAAATAAATAATCGACATTTATTGAACACAAGTGTTTGTGTTCATTAAATGTCGATTATTTATTTACTCTGAAGAAGCGACTTAGATTAAGTCACGAAACACCACAAATACAATTTTTCTACTCATTAGGATATAACACCAATATATTTATTATTAACTCACTATCAAATGCTCAATTAATTTGAAGTTATCTAGTTCAACCTTGGTATGGATACCTAGAATATTCGTTTGTTTTTATTGCTCTCTGTATTAAGAATTAGAGTAAAAAAAGGATTCATTGTACTCTTTTCTGTATTATTAACAACATCGGTTTTGTTTGATTTTATAATTGAATTATTAATTTGATTATTATGTTTATATGAATTTATCTTTCTGTTCCATTTCTAGAACCCAATTCTAATTGATTGATATCATTAGTTCCAACTATGAAATCAGTTTTTTCATTATTATCATTCATTTGTAAAAATAAACTATTTTCCTCTTCTAGTTGTTCATGATCTATAGAATAAACGCTAGTATTTTCATTAAGTACATTAAGATTACAATCATTATTTGAATCTTTAAATGATTCTTGATCAAAATGAGACTCTCGTTCTTCATCCTCTTCATCATCTCCTTCTATATTATTCTCATCATCTTCGTCATCATCATCGTCATCATCATCATCATCATCATCATCATCATCATCATCATCATCATCATCAGTTGAAGAGTGCACTTTATCTGGTCTAAAATCTTTCCACTTCCTTAGTTCTAATGAAACACAATTGTTAGTATGTTTTTCCAGAGCAGTATCATTAATGGAAGTAGCTGTAGTAATGGTAGTAGTAGTAGCACTGATAGCATTTTCTTTCGATTTAATCTTTTTGTGATTTTTACTTTGTGAAGATGAACCTACGTGGTCAGCTATTGCTTCTGGATGTGCTTCTCTTATATGCGCTTCAACCATCCATTTACGACGCTCAGGCATTTGTTTTGAACATATTGGACAAACCTATAGTGAAATGAATAAAACATGTTTTGCCTAGTCAGTATTGAAAGAAGCCTGAAATGAACAAAATGTATATATTGATACGCTAACAAAAAACAAAAAACAAAACCACACAATGTTTCAATGTAGCATGCTGATTGAAATGCAAGTGTGGGCTGACTATTCTGAGTAGCTTACTCACCTAGTCACGTTCATTCCCTGAATGTTATTATTCGAGTTGACCTGACAACCCATGAATGTAGATTAAGTGTGAACATTATGCGGTCTTTTAGTAATAGGAATTCTTACAAAATCTGTTTTCTTCCTCTGTATAGTTAAATTTGTCGAGTTCTAGGATTGTACACAGAGGACTGAATCATATAAATTGCAATAAAATAATTACGTTGAAGACTAGGTTTCCCAAAAGTTAACTTCGCCCATAACATCAAATTCTTAAACAGTAGTATTGTTTCTTATTAGTAATTTTTTCTTACAAGAACTCTAACTTAGTAATATAATTAGCCAAATACAATTCCAAATTGTTGATGAGACTCTGTAGTTAACATCATGGACTGACTTTAAACAGTTAAAAGCTAGGAGGTACTTGATAGCTGTCTCGTCTCATTATAAGTTTCGTCGGCAGTGTGAATCAACGAACCCACCGAGGATCAACCAATGACACTCGCACCTCACAGCAAGCACTTGAGCTTCAGAAAATGTGCTAGCATTTTAAGACCAACCATCGGGCAGTAATTATAGTCAACAATATTACTACAACTTGACCAAAATACAATACCTATGTTAAATAATCAGGAGGGGGGTGAGACATTATTCTAAGACAATATGGGCTACACAATTAATTATAACGAGGACACATTTGGAAATGCTTTAGAACTTATTCTCCCTGAAGAACAGTTCTGGTATATATAAATCCGATTCCCTATATTATTCAGTAAAAGTATGAGCATATAATCGATTCGTTTATATATACTACCGTTATTTACGACCGTCGAGCAAATGCAATATCCAACTCTGTAAAAATAAGTTTCTATTGATTTTATTCTAAACAAAATCCTACTGAATTATTAGAATAAGCTTTCTAGAAGCACGTAAATTTACTACGGAATAAACCATCAGGGATTTTAAAGTCATGGCAGCTTATAGTCCATTGTTCAATTTTACGATTTGCATAGATAGTTAGGCTCATCTGACATTCAATGAAAAATCATACATAAATATGTAAAAAAAACGTAAGAGCTGAAACAATTATATGTCAGTTCAAATTGTTGTACATTCGAAAGAAATTGCCTGCTTTGGTTTGGGCGCCCGGACAGTTACCAGTCTTCACACAAATCGACTGATTTGTGTGGCACATATATGTTTGGTGCCTCCCTGTACCAGTGTTTATATGTCTGAATAAATAAATAAAAATCTAGAAAAGAACTTGAGGTGAGACTATAATTGATGGATGACCTTTGAGCGACGCCGAAGTGACCTTGAGAGTATCCACCAACTAACGAGGACGACATGAGAGTTAAAAACCAGTGAGATAAATTGAAATTATGATTTACAGTTGATGGTTAGAGTTAGGAATTAGATTTAGGGTTTTCATCACGAACCGAAATCAGCCAAAATGCCGAAACGCTATTTAGTCATATGGATGATTGAATTTGGCGCCAAATTCCAAAACCTGCTACCTTTTATCTGATTGGTTCGTTCATAAATTATAGTCTCGTTGAACTGGACAAGGTCGAGAAATAGGAGTGGAATTAATAATATTGACGGTATCAAAAAGTCAAATCAAAAAATTAAATGAAAGTAACATATAAAATCAGGAAATAAAAGGAGTAGGACAATAAAATATTCAACATTTGGAGGAGTATGAAGAAAAACTATGTCAAGGAACCTAATCAGAAAACACACAACTGGTTTAGTCATATTTAGTCCTATTTGAACTAGCTTCTATGAAAACCAGCATAAAGAATTGAGTTAAGTATGTATGAGAGTAACATAGATTGCAAACGCTTCAATAAAAAAACTGGCCAACCTTTTTTTAACTTAGTACTCTACACTAAAAATGTTTTACACATAAATCAAGCACTCATTTAACTACAAAGACTTATGATACCTGTCACATAGACTGATATGCATATAATTAGAAGTATTTCAGTTGTGACCAAAATCTTTTGAATATGATATGTGGTATAACAAAAGAATGATAAGGTGCGAAATTGTAGTTTAATGTATAGGATGTTCTGTGACTGGAGTGACCTTTGCGAGACTATGAATTCAAATTTTAAGTTTCTTGGCACGAGAATTATCTGCAATTTACATAAAACTCGTGGTTGACATAGGGTATGGAACAAAATTGTAGTATGATCACTTCAATACCTCAATTGAATGGGTAAGAAATGAGAAACTAAAGATTACATATCAGTCTCAATAAGCATGAGACAGTGACCTACAATTATATAAGTGAAAATTTAATTTTCAATACAAAGTATCAGTCATCAAAATGATAATATGTTACCTGTGGATGATGTTTTCTCAAATGTCCTTCCATTAATTTCAGCGAACTAAATGATTCACTACACTGTGGACATTTGTGTGGTGTAACAACATTATGTGTAGTCATACGATGACTTCTTAGGGCTTGTACTGTAGGAAAACCAGCTGGACACAGATTACATAAATATTTGCGACCAAATGTCACTGACCCTCTAGGTGTTAACTGTAAGATACAGTCGCTGTTGAATGAATTACTTAGAGTTTGTTCAATTTTAAATGATTGCATATTGCTACTGTTATTATCAATATTAGTAGTATGGTTGTCATTATCCAAACTTTCATTTTGTCTTTGTGATAATACACGACCAACCTCAGCGGCAATATTTAAAACTTCTTCTTTAGGTGCATCAATTTTCATCCAAACATCAGTATCATTATCAATATTTTTTTTAATTCCATGCGTACGCAAATGTCGATTTAGTAGCGATTTAGAGGCTAAACAAAAACCGCATAATTTACATAAATAAGGTCGAACACCAGTATGTGAACGAAGGTGTTCATTTAAATGAACTTTTTGTCTATAAGCTTTTGAGCATAATTCACATTTGTAAGGACGTTCACCAGTATGTGTACGTATATGTTTTTCACGAGCACTGGCACGACTGAATGTTTTCTCACATGCATCACATTTAAATTTGCCACTATTTGCATGACGATCCATATGTTCACGCAAAGAACCGCGTCTCATTGTTTTACAGCATACTGGACAATTGATAAACTGTTTTTCACGTTCCCGTGATTTGCATTGATGTAAATTTTTATCAGTTGCATCATCATCGTCAGCACCTTCATCATTATCGGCATCACTGTTATTCGAGGATGGACCCCACATTGCTGCATTAGGATTTTGTTGTTTAGCAGTAGGTGACAAATTAACATTATTTCGATTCGACATTAAGGCATTTGATTCTTCTGTTGATTTTATAGTCGCTGTTGTTGTTTCAGTGAAATGTTCTTTAGGTATTGTTGGTAAAGATAAACCAAGAGGAGCTATCGGTGGTGTTTCAGAAGGAAAAATTGGTATCAACTGTCCAGAAGAGAGTGCAGCAACAGTGGCCACAGCAGCTGCCTGTGCAAGAAAAGCCGCTGTTTGTAAGGTATTCAAACATTCCGTGGTGACTGGAATCGGTTCATTTGAATTTTGACAAGTTTTCCTTTGTTTCTGTTTTGGACTATTCTCATCAGTATCTGGAGATCTTTTCATAATAGTATGGTTGGTGTCACATTCAAGCGCTTCATCATCATTATCTTCTGGTAGACTGTCATCATCATGATCATCACTACTATCGTCATGATTATTACTGCTATGACTATCAACATCATTAGAACTCAAATCATCTACAGTATCATCAATGTTATCTTCATCGTTCGAGGATTCCTTTTTACCATTTAGATTAAACTGTTGGGGAGTTGCTTTAAATCTTGGCATATCAGTAGTAAACAGGATAATCTGTATTGAAAAAGAAAACGAATAAGAATAAAGACTACTGGGAAGGAATGACATGGAATGGAAATGATATATGAGTTCCAGTTAGAATATTGGTAATATAAAAATTAATAATTACATAGTTAACTCATTCACAAGGTGAGCCACACTGTAACTATAAGGCCTGGGGATATTACACAGTCTCCCAAGCCGAAATAAGTGGACTGAGGTTCGAACCCAGGACTCAATGTCTGAAAGCCGAACTCTCTAACCAAGAAGCCATTTGTTGATAGGTGTTTCGCTTTCTGTCAGTAATTTGATCACATCCTAACCTCGAAATTAAAATTACTATCTGTTTATTACCTCTCAAAGTCAGTGACTACATCAATATATGCTAAGCTGCCAAGTTGAATACTCTTTTACTTCAACGTATGATGATTTTACTTGACCAATATGATAATTAATATAACATGAGCAGAATTTTGAAATCATATCATATTATCACTAGTCAGAATTTATCCAAAACCCATGCATTCTTATCTGGCAATTTTAAAATAAACTTCATGCTCCAAATACTGTTTTATATTTCAACCATATTTTTTGAATGTGATGACAACATACATAATGCGGATAATATGTGTAATATGGAGATTAATGGTACGATCCAGTTATCAAGACATTGATTTATGGAGTGAAGTGTTCGCCAACTGGCCATATCATCAATAAGTTATAATCTTCCCAAAGCATAACACATAACGTTTGAAATAATTCTGTCGGTTAACTAAATGTGTTCAGTAACCTCCAGTTTGATAAATTTATATTTTGGTGTGAAAAAGAACTTCCCCTATCACTCAGATTCCCGACGGTAAACTTTCGACAAAACAAGATCAAGACAGAAAAATGATGATAAAGCCAGAAGAACCTTAGGTCAAAGCATTGTATAAGAACCTTTACTTGCTCACTAAGTTTTGTTTATTGATTAATACTATTTTGGAACAATATAGAAACGTAAATGCATGAAAGTTGCCAAAAACGGTTTAATCGTTACATAAAATAATAACTGGGTGAGCTCGGTGCCCTAATTAGATATCCGTTCACACATCCATGTACATTTTACTATGACTAGGTGATCGTGGTTTCAAATTTCAACTGTTGATGCATTGCAGAACACGTCGAAACTTGTATTGAGTACTCCGTTTTTACTAAATGTTATTTGAATCACACCTGATATGAATAACAAATACACATAAATGGGAACCTCCAGTTAACTAAACATGAGTTATTTCTCAGTGATGGTGAAGATCCTACAAAGAAAGCATAACTTCTACATGCCAACCACAATTTATTCAATAACCAACAGACGTAACACTGTGTCGTTTATTATAAGTTTTTAAAACTGGAAAAAACTAGAGACTTTTCTGAAGTTATATTTTTGGAACAGGACGTCGTTAAAAGATGTATTACAGTTTAATGACGGTTAATAAAGTAACCAAAGCACAAAAATAAAAAAACTAAATATATCTGGTTGTTATGGATGATCGAAATCATCATTTACTGTGATGTTCACTCCTATCATTATTTTAATTTTTGTAGTGATGTTAATGTTGACTTTTAGCCACATAATTCGAATCTGTATAATATTTGTTATTTTGTATCAGTATTTAACGTTTATTCATGAGACACAAAAATCTCTTCTGAAATATCGTCTTCTTTCTCTCTCTCTTTCTCTCTTCAACGGAGTGTGTGTTGTCCATGTTGCAGTATTATCTCCAACGAACCTAGTTTAACTATAATCCTCTTACATTAGGTCTAATAATTATTAATTGGTCAGATTTACTGAATAATATTTACTAAGATGATCAATAAGGCTGATAACCTTCAATTTTAGATCATAATACCAGTGACAATTTAAATGTTCGTTTAAGCGTAAATGAAGAATGTGTAACAATCAATGATAAAGTTACCATAAGGAAACACCCAGAAGTAACGTAGCATATATAACACACAAAAAAATATTTTGAAACTGTGAAAAGTGTAAAGTTTAATTTTATTAAGGGATATTGACTTTAATTTCGATAACCTATGGACTAAATATAAATAAGAATATAGGAAAATAAATTATAATCGTCTGGAAGATTGTCTACTTGAAAGTGTCAGAAAATTATCTAAAGATTAGAATGGTAGACTAGCATGTTTTATTACATGAACCTTCGTTAAACCTGAATGAACAGTCTAATAAGAGTTTGAGAGACAAATATATAAAAGACATTTAAGGAGAAATTACTTTTGGGTCGGTGTCTGACGAAATCTCAGCACGGACTCGAAAAGCTCGTTTGGCTTTCACCAACTTACGTCATCTATGACGAAGACGAGATATCCGTATATCAATAAAAGGAGTAAACTGCTCAGCAGTTCGTTCTGTTTTACTTTACAGCTGCTAAACATGGCCATTAAGAGTTGAAGAGACTCGTAAGCTACTAGTATTTGACAGAAGATGCCTTGGAAATATTGCTGGCATCTGCTGGGATCATCGGGTAAGTAATAGTGAAGTTAGAAGCAGGGTATTAGGGAACGATGGTAAATCAGTTGATGAGGTTATGAATCTTCATCGACTGAGATGGTTGGGCCACGTGTTGCGTATGCCTGAACACCGATTACCACACCGTGCAATGCTAACCGGTGTTGGGGATGGTTGGAAAAAAGTTAGGGGCAGCCAAATCAAAACGTGGCATCAGTCTACAAAGTCACTAACTCCTAGTTTGAGCCATGTTGGTAGATGCAGATTACTTGGTTGGGGTCCGCGTGACTAGCGTAACCAATGGTTGGAGACTCTGGGTGACATGTCTCAGAATCGATCACAATGGCGTAGGTGTATACACTCCCTGTCTTCCCTTAAACTATGAGATTAAAATCACTTCATACCTTTCTTTCTACGAACTAATTTTTTCTTCCTTTATTATATCCTTATATGCAAAGGGTTTTTTTCCAAGAATCTTGAACTAGTTTATCTAGTGTAATGTTGGGAATATTCTAATCACCGGGATGTTTACAAAAATAGTCAGTCACTCAGCTACAACGTAGGACCAGGAACATATATGCATCGGTCCAAGTTGCCATACCGCATTAGCATAGCAAGATGAACACCGGATTCATAGAAGTAGTTAATTCAGTCATGGTAATATATAAAAGAAAGATTGCATATAAGGATATAATAAAGGAAGAAAAAATTAGTTCGTAGAAAGAAAGATATGAAGCGATTTTAATCTCATAGTTTAAGGGAAGACAGGGAGTGTATACACCTACGCCATTGTGATCGATTCTGAGACACGTCACCCAGAGTCTCCAACCATTGGTTACGCTATTCACGCGGACCCATTGTATTCAATCATAAGTTTACCAAGTTAAGAATTTTCATGCTACTACATGCTAATTACATATAGTATTGAGGATGAATTCCTGCTCAAAGTTAGTTTTTACCATGAACTGATATTCGCTGAAGAATAAGTGAAAACTAAGTTATTATAAACAGATGTTTCATTCCAGTATGGAACTTATCACTTACAAAACAAGTTTTCATTGGTTTGTACTAGTTTTCAACTGGTGAAAGGTAATGAATTTCTAGATTGAAATCTAGAAATGGGCACTATGGGTATTATGATTTATCACAGTGTTACAAACGCATTCATTTGATTTAGTATCACTCATTATTTTAATGAAAATTCTTAACCAGTTATAGAAACTGATGAACTTATTCCATGAGAACGAATCTTGTAATTATTTGAATCAATCGTAGTTTCTTAAAATGATGGTTGTTTAAACAGATCACAGCAACACCAACAACAAAAATCCATTTTTTTTTATCATCTACTTACTAATCACCTTGGTATACAGCTACCAAAATAGATGACACTTTACTTCAAACAAAAAACAACTACTACAGACATTTATCATTCTTCAACTATTTTCATGATTTTTTGCGACTAACTTTGGCTTACAATACGATTAGATTCATTTGTGTGTGTGTGTGTGTAGACATCAATATTAGAAATCTTATTGATTGGTTTTGTTGAAACACTCACATTACAGTCACATATTAGGTACTACGATTTCAATATATCCACACATATCAACATACATACACACAGAGAGTAAGAGAGAAAGAGAGAGAGAGAGAGAGAGAGAGCAATGCAAATCACAGACAGAAACTGAATTTCTATGACTGATTGATATGGATCAATAAAACGTTAAGTTGAGATCATTATCAAATGATGATTTAAAATTAACTGTCTATATTATTCATGTATTATTCAGTTTTAAGAATGATTATTTTAATGGATTTGGCTAGAAAGAATAGGGTATCTAGTTAATCAATTTGACAACATAGAAACTTAGGGCTGATTAAGCTAAATGACCTAGTATTAATTGCAAGATTTAGATAGGTGTATAGCAATGAAATCATGGATAAATTTTCATTAAAAAAAGAGGAATTCTGGTGAGACCAGTTTTATCAAAAATCAGACCCTCTCTCTCTCCCTCTCAAAAAACGTGTGTTCAATTATTTGAACCATAAAGTACCTAAACCACTACAGAACAAATTAGAAGTTAATAACATGATCAAATGAAACATTTACTGATCGACTTATTTATTCACACCGATAATTGAAGTTGACCGCTGATTGCTTTAGTAGGAAACTGTTTGGTCGTTAGTCATTGAATTGGTCTAGTTTACTATCTGACACATTAGTTATTTCTGTACGAAGCTTCCTGTAAATAGATATTCAGATGTAATAAGTGACCTAGAAAATAATCCTTTGTAGATATAAAATGTTTTTTTCTCTATTGTAGTCCACGAAACACAGGTACACTTTTAGTCGGTAAGATCCGTTGAATTCATCGATCTGATCAGAGTGAAAAATGTACCATTGATTATTAAGTAGTTAGGCTCGAAATTGGCTATAGTAAAAGGAGCGGCTGAACATATTTCTTTTGTATGCAAAGCTTTGGCTTTTTTATCCGAATAGCAA